AATCCACAAGCTGATGATGTAACCTTTTAACTAATAGGCATAACCTATTTAATTAATAAACAATTATCATAACATTAGTTCAAGTTCAGTCTTTGTTTAAGCACTCTTCATATGAGTAAAGGATACTGGTGTGTTAGTCCAGTTGCTCCCTTTGGATAATATTTATGTGAACCAGGTAGATTAATCAAATCATCAAACAAAAGCAGTTGCTATGATAGACAGCCTGGAAGGTTAACCAGCTCTTCAGAGTCTTAGTCCAGTGGAGTAAAAAATGGAAGTAACTCAATATTGCCTACTGTTACACATGTCCAATCAAGTGTGTTATGTTATTACTGCTGAGCCCATCCTGATTTGGAGCTCTTCAAACTTCCACAAGTATGTGGTGAGCAGTTTTCCTTCTAACTAATATGGATACTTGTGGTAAACTGACTGCTGCTTCCTCAGTGGAAGCTCATCTTTGTCATGCCAAGAGACCTGCTAGCAACTACCTCTGTATATCCTGTATAGAGCACCTGTTTTCAGAGCTCTGTTGTTGTGTTTAGGCTTTGTAAATATATTGTTCAGTAGTTCTTCTGCTCTTAGTGCAGCAAGCACTGATAGACCAGTGTGCTGAATGATTAAAAGGACAGAGGACACAGCAGAACCCCAGTTTTAAAAATTAAAAATTCCCATGTGAGCTGTATCATGACTTTGTGCTCATGATTGATGGCCTTTTAAGAGTTTTATTGTCAGTGTTCTCCCTTTGAACGTTACTTTGGATGTTGTAAACTGTTCTTACTAGTATGTTGTAACTGAAGTCTGTCTGGAAGAAGGGGTTATAACTTGGTGTTTTTATGTTGGAAACTCTTCAAGACAGAAATCCTTACTGCTTGTACGAAATTACAGGATATTTTTATCAAGACTGGGCTCCTTGGCAGAATGACAGTAGATTCAGTATTTAATTGCAGCTTGCCATTGATTCTTAAACTTCCTGTGTTTTAAGATAAATTTGCTTTATTAGTTTACTTTCCACTTTGAACTTGGAGTTTAAGGAAAGTGGAAGACATCCTAGTTTAACATAAAACATACTGTGTTGCCATGCTTTTAAGATGGAGTTTCTCCTTTCTCTAAATTTGTGTTCGTTTGTTGAGGTGGTGTGTATTTTTTGGCCTTATAAAATGTAAGGAGCTAAAATATTTGGGAGAGGTACAGAGGAAGGTAGAAGGGCTATTTCAGAAGCCTGTTCTGATTTTCTACCCATTGTAAAATGCTGTCTAATATTTCTCCTGTTAATGTTTTGCAACTGCTTGTAAGAGCAGTTGTAGTGTGGTGGGTTATTTCCTAAGTATACACACTAGCCTGTAGTGAATACTGTGTGTATGTGTGTGCAAGGAATGTGATTTTAATCTATTTTTCACAATGCATGGCAAGTGCACTTCTGGGCTGTTTTCCCTAATAAATCAGAGACAGCTGTTTTTTCTATGTTTTGTAATATGGTGCAGAAGAGCATGTGTGCAAATACAGTTACTAAAAAATATTTCCATAAATATTGTTAAGAACTGACAGCTTTTATAATTCTTAGGTTACTAATACAAGTACTAATACGAGAATGAAACTAACGTTATTCCAGTAAACTAAATAATCTGATGAGAAACTTTCCCAAAACACTTATGTCTCTTCTCAAATCTGGATTGAATTGGCATGACTTGCAGGAGCACCTTTCAACATTCAAATCTATTCTAACCAGGATTTAAGTAGGCAGGAATAGATTTGAACCTTTCTAGAAAGGATGATAGAGCTAAACATTTCTGATAGCAGTGCTTCTAATATTGTTTCTTACTCTGGTAGCAGTACATTATCCAGCTAATGTATTTGTTTTAAGAGGGAAAAAAAAAATCTGATGGAAAGCATTAGGTTATCTGCTTACAGAATACATATTTGTAAGACAGATTTTGGAAGTGTTATTACCTCTGTTTTGAGGTTAGTCTGCCTGTGGCATGGTGGATGAGGAGGAGAAAAGTACTCTGCAGGAAGGAACATTCTTACTTGTGCAGAAGCTGCTGACTTGGAGGTGTATGTTGTAGTACAGTCTCTGAATCCTTTGGGTGAATGGTATTTGATGCTTTGTGCCATCACACTCAGAAACGAGCTGCTTACAGGTTAATTTGGATCATTCTTGTTTCTACAGCAGCAGCTTTACCGCTCCTTAAAGTTGCACTGGAATTTTGCTTTTTCATCTATAAAATCAAATTATCTGTACATTCAGAAATAGACTGTGGCATTAAAACGCTTCTGTTAAGAATGTCACCTTAAAATATTAGGAGGAACAGAGAGCTGCAGAAAGGTTCAGAGGCGGCTTTTATAGCAAGGAGGAAGAGGACTCTCAAATGTGGAGGAGTGAGGAATGAAGTGAAGGCATGAGTATTATGGAAGGGCTGAATAGCCTCATTAGTCTCTATCGCCTCTGGTACAAGGATGCATGTTTTAACTTTATAGCATAAGTAGATAGTAATTTGTTCTTTGAACTTCATTAGAATGTGAGCTTGATAGACTATTTTCAAGGCAATTGTTGCATGTTAGAGGTCTCAAACCCTTTTTAAGGAGGAGCCTAGGAAGTATTCATTCAGATAAAAATTGTACATTAATAATTAATTCTTAATTTAATGTTCAGTTTGCTTGAATAAGAATTTAATCACTCTTACAAATGTAGTTACATATTCTAAGAACTGTCAAGAAAGCTTTTGAACCAAGATTGCTGAGGTAATATATTGAAATACCTTAGGCATGTTGGAGTAGGTGAAAATTTTACATCTATGACTGGAGCATGTGGGAGGATTTGGTAAGAGCTTAGGTTCTGGACAAAAGAAAGAAGGGTGTACTCAAAAGAGGAATTACTGAAGAAGTTAAGGAGTGGCCTTATTAACTCAAGTCAATTGAGATTATGTGGTAAATAAATGCAGATTGATTAACAGTTGTAATTGCATTTGCAGCTGATAAATTGCTGCAGTTGCATCTTGCATACTTGCCTCTTAAGGCACAAGTCATGCTAAACTAAATAGCATTGTATATAAAGTGTACTTCAGATTTTGGTTAACTGCAAGAATCACTAACTTCAGAGTGATTTCATGGTTATCCTATTGTGTGAGTTAAAATAAGGAGTTTTAAAGATTGTTAAATTTTTGTGATAGGTAATTTTGAAGAGGCGGTTGGGTTAGTATTTTTGGTCATTGTAACCACTGTGTATTTGTGAAGGAGAGGCAAACATCATCTGGCTTGTTTAATAAATTCAAGGTGTTAATTTATGTAAATATGAAGTTGCCCAAATGTGAGATTGATTTTACACTGGGATTGTGATGGTGGAAAAGTCTAATCACCACCATAGCCTCCACTTGATTGCTGGACTGCCCTAACACGTCTAGAATTTCAGGTGACAGTTTTCAGTTTGGGTCTTTGCAGGCATGGAAATGTTGCATATGTGTTTGTTTCATGACTTTCACCAGTGCTAAAATATGTTAGTCAGGTATACTGAAATCTACACGCTCTTGTGTCTTGTGTTTGTACCCCCCTTCCAATCTAAAACCCCTACTCAATCAAGATTTCATGTATGCTCAGTAAGATTGACCCTGGAGTCTAATTATCCTTGTCTGGATAGCAAACAATCCAACTAGGTGTTTAATCCTATTTTAGGCTGTTTAGATTGAGTGTTTAGCGATGTTCAATTGAGTTAATGAATGAAATACAAAAAACTTTTTAAAGTTGGTAGCTTGATAATCCAGCAAGCAATGGCTGTGAATTTGGACCTATAGAATGAAATGGTAAAGTGCTGTAGGGCTTGTTTGCAAGACTCTTCAACATCTGCTTCTATCAGCTTTAATTAATCTTATATCTGAATACAGTATTTGGATGTGTGTGAAAACTAGTCCCTGTGTTTGAGTGGGTTTAGTTTGGTTTGGGTTTTTTTCCCATTTGCTATATCAGAAGAAGCTGAAGGGCTTATTGAATAGTTAATTTTTTTCTGAGCTTAGGTACATGGGCAGACTTGTTTGCAAAGTTACAGAGAGTCAAGCCTTCTTCATTTGAAGAGCATTTTCATTGTCCCACTGTTTTAGACATTATTTGTTGGTTGTAACCATAGGAATGTGAATCTTATCATTGCTACGTGTTGGAACAAAGGAAGGGCAATGGTTTCTACTTCAAACTTCCTTTCAAAACTAAGGTGAAGTGGATCAACATTTATTTGCTGACAAGAGTGCTACTGAAGGTCATGCAATTAATAAAAACCACATTCTTTCACAAATAATTAGGGTTCTTTTTAGAAATTTTTTTTTTCCTTTCTTAAGGTTGGGAACCCTGTTTTACAAGTTGGTCCTTAGTTTCTTTTGTATCCTTCATTTTTCCTAAGTGAGAAATCTTGCCATGAATTTGATCTACTGTGTCAACCTTTATATTTCTCTTGTATTTCCCATGTATTACTAAATTAATTGATCAGTTTAAGCATGGTTGTGGTTCAGAATCAAGATATTGTCCATCAATCTATTCTTGGGTCAGCAGCTCTTGATGTTTTATGGATACCTATATTCACAGGAGTGCATGAGCTCTCAGTGTGTTGTCTCACTCTTGCTAAAAGAAAAAGCTGAGTTGTAGAGCTTTGTTGTATGTATTAGTGGTTAGTAAAAAGGGAGTTTTCCTTTTTTAAAATGTCCACTAAAATGTAAAACCTCCAAATTATCTCAAAGCAATTGAGTTATTAAAACAAGTGTTTGGCAAATTTTGTTTGGCAAAGCACAGATTTGTTTGAAAGGAAATGGCTATGAAATTTGTTGACATACAAAACTCTGTTTTAACCTAAATGCTACTATACTGCATTATCAAATGCAGAGTTAGGGCAAAGGTTAATAGATGCCTCTTTTTGTTATTTGTCTTAACTATTGCAGTGTTATCATAAAGCTGCAATGTTGGTATACCCTTTTAGTGTTTTCAGACACTAGACTGAATTAATTTTTTTCTTTTTTTTTTGACAGTCAAGGATCCCTTTAGTGAAGAACTCCAAAAAATACAAGTAAGTAAAACAACTTAACACTGAGATTTTAATCTGTCATGTGATTGTATAAAAACAATAGAGATCTGTTCAGAAGGATGCAGTTTTAGTATAATTTGCAGGAAATAAATGCACTTCTTGTAACTGATGTTTTAATTTTTTTTTCATCTTGGGCAGTGTAAATAGGATTACAAGATTTGGCTGTGGCATGCTGGTTGCTTCATATACAGTGAAAATAGTACATCATTTGTGTTGTAAAAATAAAAGAGTGTTGTAAATTTTGAGACTAAATTTAACAGTTTTTCACTTACTGTTACCATTTGGCTCCTCAACCTTGAAAGCACCACTGGTAAGAGATGATTGATATGAAACCTCAGGATCTTATTTAGTGCTATAGAAGAAGAAGTCCTTCAAAATGGATTTTAAAATTTGTTTTTTTCACTTTGATTCCATTCTTTTACTTGTTCCTATATTCACTTTTTTGTCTGAAGTATCAGACTAAACATTTTTGAGATGTCACCATTGAAGCTATCTGTATTCTTAGTTGTGCTGCATGCATTCGGGTGGTTCTCTCTTCTGACTTGAATTGTAAACACGGTGGCATTGGCTGGTTTCTCGGGTAGAAAATGCTTCTGAATCTCTTGACAAAATAAATTTCTTGAGGCAGATTTTGCGGATTCTTTCATAATTACTAGTGCAAAGAGAATGCATTTTGTGCACTGGACTCAGCCTGAGAACCTGTTCTATATGTTACTTTCATCTGTTTCTACTGCAGTGTTCCGTAGTAATCCTATTGCATGCTTGATTGTTTGTTAGCTACAAAGGTTACACCACTAGATTCTTTCTTTTATGCAGTTCAACCATTAATTAGGAAAAAAAAAAGGTCACAGTAATATTTCTCATGTTCATCTCACTGTAGCTAGTAGTGGAATCATGGGTGTACTTACTGGCAGATAAACAGAACTTGAAGTACTGCTGGTGGTGTGTGTGTATGCTGCAGGACTGATTTTCTTCTTCTGCCATTCATAGTGTTTTCCGGGCAGGAAGTGAGTTAATAAGATTGGTTAGTTTCCTGAGAAGTATCAACTACATCAGCTTAATATCAGTGATGGTTCTGTAGCACCAGAACAGGGAGAGGTGACACTGGTAATTGTTGTTAATGCTACTGGGAAATAATTTGTCCATTGTTTGATCAGGAAATAAGTATTGAAAGTATTTGAAAGAAGTATTTTGCTTTTCTGGTAGCAGTTTTCTTACAGAAAAATATTGGACTATTCACATTTTAAAATTATGTCAATAGTGCTTTTGCATCAGCGAATTAAGCCTAGTATAGTTAGGTTTTGTTCAAAATGAGTATAATCAGCATATGCACAAACTGGAAAATATTTTTTTTGACTATTTTTTTGAATGAAGTCTCTAGTCTTAGCCTTTGGTAAAACTTCAACATTTCAGAATAGCCTTTAGTGTATGTAATTGTATGTGTATGTAATTGCATGTTCTTTGTCTTTATGTTTTGAATATTTCCTTCTAATAGAAAATAGTCCTCGTTATATTTAAATAAAATTGTTTGATATCTTGATAAGTTTAACTTCCCTGTAAGTAGCAATTATATGACATCTCATATTCATGCTAGTTTTGGGAATTAGGCCTTTTGTGCTATGGTGTGTGCAAGAAGCATCAACAAGATAGTCCACAGATTTCTGGTGTGCTTTGTTTTGGCTTTTTGTTTGGTGGGGGCGGTTGGTTTGTTTGCTTTTTAAATTAAATTACTATAGTTTGAATGTAGACAATAAAAATCTTCCTTTGCTCTGAATTTTATGCTGGAATGTGGCCAGATGGTACTTTAGTGTAGCTTGTATAAAATGTCATTGCACATCTATAAAGAATAAAACTTCTATTTTTACATAGTAGCTATCAAAAACCACCCCAAACAAAACAGACTTCTTTTGAGTAATTTCACTAATCTCTCAGTAGTATCAAAATACTGCTGAGAGTCTGTTGGTTTTAACTGGCAGATCTGTCAGAGTCCAAGCTGCAATCTAGTGTAGCTTCAGTCAAGATCTGAAAATTCAATGTACTGGATACTTGGATTCAAAAATCTATTGCCTGCCTCTTAGTTGATTTGTGAGATGTTTCAGCTTTCTACCTGTAAACCATCGGGATTTTTCCTCAGATTATATGAAGATTTTTGGGGTTAAATGGAAAAAAGTACATCTGTACTACTGCTGGTTTTAACATAAATATGTTTTTCTCATTCTAGGAAGATGAGATAAGTCTCATGATGAAGAGCTTGTATGCACTTCATGATAAATTGGCGCAAGTAGCAGGTAACACTTCAAAAATATTGTGATGTAACATTGTGGCAACAGCTACAAAAAAGTCCTGTAACTTAACCATATGAGTTCCATAGTAATGATAAGTGCTGCGTATAGTAATGTGCCAGACTTGGTGTTTAGGGGTAGTATTACTGAATATTCAAAGTGAAAAAGAGAGTGATTTTATCTAGAGTCATAAGGAACACAGCTTTAAACTGCACACATACTTACACATCACAATCAGGAAATGGTGAAGTTAAGGCTGTGGTTACAACTTTGGCATCTGGTTGAATGAGAGTTACAGCTGAGTCTGTGTCATGACTATTAAACAGGTTTTATCATCCTTGAATATTTAACCCATAATGCATTCAGGAGGTCTTGCTGGTTTTTGTGCCAACTATTTGTTTTGCATCAGCAAGTTTTACCAAGGAGGCTTTTCCATTATTATCAGGTGCTACAGATATTTTGCAAACATGAAAAAATGTGGAAACAACTCTGTGTCAGATACAAAGCTGACAATGTAATATGTCAAGGCTGTATAGGAAATGTGTGAGAAATTTGAGCAGCTCTGTAATACCATTTAAATTACATCAGTAATCCACTTTCTGCAGAAACATTTTCTTTCCACAGCATTTACAGTGTCTGCTATGAATAAAATAGGTGTTTGGACAAGCTCCATACATTTTATTTTGTTTGTATCAGAGAATCACAGAATGGGTCAAGTTGGACAGAATCACAGGGGGTCATTTGGGCCAACCTCCTTGCTCAAGCAGGGTCATCCCAGAGAACATGGCGTAAGATTGCATCCAAACAGTTCTTGAACTGTTGAGTCTCCTGCAAGGGAGATTCCGCATGCTTTCTGGACAATCTGTTCCAGTGCTCAGTCACCCACACAATAAAGAAGTTCTTCCTCACGTTCAGGTGGAACTTCCTGTGCATCAGTCTCTGCCCCTTGCCTCTTGTCCTATTGCTGGGTACCACCTAGAAGAGCCTGGCTCCCTCCTTGACATCTTCCCTTCAGATGATTATAGACATTGATGAGGTCCCCTCTCAGTTGTCTCTTGTGGCTGAGCAGGTCCAGCCCCATCAGTCTTCCTCATAAGAGAGATGCTTCAGTCTCTTAATCATCTTTGTCTTCTGATGTAGACCATACTAAAACTGAGTATTCTAGGTGATTGTTGCTTTTCCTTGCTTAGATCATTGTCATGCTGCTTTCCTATCTTTTGAAGAGTTTTGAACAGCTTGCTGTTTGTTCGGTGTGTCATCTGGCCCTCCAGGACCCATACAGTAAACAATGTATTTGCATGGATAAAAAAGTTTGGCACACAATATGTACATCCATGTAAGGGGGGCATATTTCAGTGCACATAGACATATACAAATCTTTACCTGTCTGCCTTATGAGGAAAATTTGTGTGCTCCAAGACAGCTGCTTGCTTCACCAGGTCTCAAAGATGCATTGTTCTCTATTAGTCTATTTCTGGCCAGCAGGATCTTCAAATGCTTCCTTTTGAAAAATACAACTATCCTTTCTGGTTAGGTGGTGCTTCAGACTGGAGCTGTAATGTGAGCTTACCTGGTTGCTCAGCAGAGTAGCTTTCATACATTTTGAAGAAGGACCTAATCCTTCTCTTCTTAGACAGAAATTCTTCTCAATGCCAAGTTTCTTAAGATACGAGAGGAAGATGTCTGCCATCCATTTTTGCATACCATATTGATGTAGACATGGCACAATATCTGGAAGCAGTTTAAAAGGTATAAAACAGAAGCTGCAAGGGAGATGCAGGATTTAAGAGTGTTGATCTTGTGCACAGTGCACCACTTCAAAGGAGAAGTTAAGAAATATAGATTTACTTCAAGTGGTGCTTTTCAGGTCTCTCTGTCACATACTTGGAAAAGTTTCTCTCATTTCATACTTGGCTATGAATCGTTTGTTCATGTTATAACTATTAATATTAAAAAGGCAGGCTGGAAACTTGAAGTAGTCGGTTCTGTTAAGCTTTATTCAACATCTTGACTTCCATAAAGATGGTCCCTTCAAAATTTGGTTTCTATCTCTGTTTAAGAAAACACTTATTTTTACTGATCTAGTTTCTTACCTTGTCAACTTCAAATGGAGAGCAAATGATGGGGCTTTTATTTTAGAAGATAGAATATGAAGTTTTTTTTAAGGAAGAAAATGTCAGAATAAGAATTCATTAATTTTGACTTAATATACTATGTTCCAACTGTAGATACCTATTCTGAACTGTGGTGCTGCAATATGATGTCAAATTATTTAATTATCCAATATAAAAATAGGTTGCCTTTAATGCATCACCATTCTCTGAATTACTAGTCTGTTCAACCTAGAGCAAGTAATTTTTGCCTCACAGGAAACTCAGAACTGCATGAACAGATAGTGCTTCTCCCTTGAGCTGAAGTTTGTGTTCCTGTGTTCGTGTCTTGAATAGTTTTGCCATTGTTCAAAACAGCAACATTTTACAAACAGTATACATTTCAGTACTCAGCACTTTCTGCTAAACCAAAATATCTGCTTTTTTAAATAGCATATGTTAATTACTGGATGTCTTGGTCTTCCATGGAGAGATTTCAATAGATCCCATCAATTTTCAGTCAGACTTGTAAAATGAATAAATCTAGCCACTATATACACAAGAAGCAACCAGCTACCCATGGGTATGACCCTTTCTTGTAGATAAAGGATTTTTTAGGTAGCTGTTTCTTTTGCCTGGCATTCTTCAGTGTGACAGACTACTGGATTTAGATAGTTTCCTTCTTTTTACAGGTTCTTGAGATGCAGGGGGACAATTAGGCTTTTTTATGTAATAAAGCTTCCTGATAAATCTGTAACTGGAAGAAAATTCTGGCAAAACACCTAATGTTACTTAATATTAATTTCAGATATCAGCTACTGTATCCAATGGCTGTCACAGGCTCTGTCCCTCTCCTTAATATTTGGTTTTTCAGGTAATTGATGCTATGCTGTTTCCAACCAGTGATTGAACAGCTATTTAGCAGGTTCTGGTGTTCTGCAGTGTTATTGAGCTGTTGAATTTGCCTTTGGGAGATTTGCCTTTGGGCATTCTTACTTGCTCTTGGTCTTCCTCTGGTTTTCTTGAGCTCCCCACTTTAGTGTTTTGCTGCAAGTAACCTGAAAACATGAGAACTTGCAGTTTGTATTGGTGACCATATCACATTAAGCTGTAAGCTAGAGATCTGTGCTAAATCCACGTCTTCCTTGAAATACTAGGTTTCCACTGTGTTTTGCTACCTAATGAGAAAATTATTTTCAGTGTAAAGTATTCAAAATTCTGAATATTTCTGTTGCCTGTATACGGTGCAGTTCATAAGTTAAATGCCTAAAGGAAAGTCAGTTTTAAATGTTCTAGCCTGCATGAAAAAGATGATCTGACTTGATTTCTGTGTTAGAAGCAGTTGAGACATAATATTTCTTTAGAACTGGAGCTTTAGGTGCTTTTTGGTAGTATTACTAAAAGAATTTGATTTCTTAAGTGGCTTGCCCAAATACACTAACATAAGCTAAAGTGTAGTTTTGTGATCCTTGCTGGGATGTGCTACTTTTTGCCTCCCTACAAAAGCAAATAGAAAAGTTCTTTGCTCTTGAAATTGGTACCCAAGGAAAGTTTAAGCTCAAAGATCCATGCTTTCTGTAAGCTCACAGCAGACATTATAACAGAGGGGCAGTTTTTACAAAGAACTCAAATGTATCTTGCAGCAGACTTGTGTAAAGTTTTTTTTGCCTGTGTTTCAGTTTTATTCCTGAATATAGGGCCTCAAATGGAACAGTTGGGAAACATTTTTGGCTCAGACTATGGAAACTGGGTTTCCAGGCCAAGTGGTTAATGATTGCACCAAAGTTATTCAAAGTAAGCCTTCATTTGCAGAACTATTAGCTAACGCAATGACTGAAATGGCATATAGGAATATCCTGCTGTTGCAGTAAAACAGAAGGTTGTCTGACTTGTGAAATGCCTAACTTTCTGCAAGCTTTCAAATTCATGCGTTTCTCAGAAGAAAGCTGTTAAATGGTTCTCAGCAAAAGATGTGTTGGAACAAGGAACTGTGTCTCCAATAGCTTTTTGTACAAGACCAAAACTCCATAACTCTGATTAGCTTACTGTTTTCGAGAGTGGGAGACAAGATGAAAGTGATTTTTATTCCTCTCCCCCCTGTCCCAGTATTGCTTGAGGGAAATTTGAACTGATGTGCCTTAGACATTGCCACAGCCTGGGTAGCAAAGGTGTATTTAACTGTTAAACTTGTTCAGAGGGAATACAGTTAGAAAAAAATTTCAGCAGCAGGACTGAGAGGAAACTGCTGGTTTCTGGAGATGAGACCAGAAGCTGTTAAGTCAGTGTGCTGGCTGCATGCTGCATAAATGTAATTCTTGGAAGAAGGCAAATAAGATTAGCATTTCAAACTACTAAATTCAGTAGTCCCCTACCTCAGGGTGCTTTTGTCCTGTTGTAAAAGGTAATGGCTGTGTTCTCAAAAGGTGGAAAATCCAACATGAACCCTGAAACCTGTTTTTAAGAATTCATATTTTTCACAATCAGTTTCCTGCTTGTGTGTTTGGTTTGCTTTCCCATCTGTGTATTAACCTCACCCTTTTTATTCTCTCTCATTTATTTCATAACAGGGCTTTTCTGCTTATCTAGATAATGAAAAAAACAACCAAAGAAAAGCTTCTTAGCAAAAGGGTCTCATCCCCCTTCTCTCACAAGCTGTTTTGGTCAAAGTATGACTGACATGGTTTCTCTGTATTAAAAAGACCACAGAAAGACTTCAGATCCTAACAAACAAGGGAAAAGACTTAAATGTTGGAATATTTGTCAGGCTTGCTCACATTATACAACTTAATATCAGATGTAAATTGTACATATGGCTTCTACAGAGATGTGTTTTGGATTTGTTGTATTTATTCCATCAGTTCTAGATTTAAAACAATATTTAAACAATACACCAGAGACTGTATGAGTATAATGTATAGTTATTCCAAGTCTGCTAATTTTGAAACATGAAATCACTGATGATTACACATGTAAATTTACAGGCTGTACAGTTTATGTTGTACAAAAACAAAGTCTGCCTAAATTACAAGAAAAGCCTATAGCTCCAATTCAGGTGCTGAGTTCTAAAATTAGACTGGGTTTTTATGAAAGTGGTGTCCATTTTCAGCAATGATCTGTCTAGTTTTGCTATTACAGTAGACTAAGGCACTTTGAAAGTCTTAGACATTGCATTTTCAAGTGAAACAACTTGTAAAGTTTTCTGCTCTGTGCTTGATTGAAAATACATGCATGGACACAGGCTTAGTTCCAGCAGCACCTCTAGGCCAGTTAGTATATGAGCACTCTTAAAAACACTGTTCCCATTTCTCTGTATCCTAAGAGCATCCCTGTTATGCTGATATGCTTGCAAGGCCAAATTCTCTTAAATCTGTTCAAGTGTACAGAACAAAACAGCAGTCTGAGGAGGACTTTGGCTTCACAGAAACATGTGTTTCTTTGGAACTCCAAATGAATGAGCCATGAAGGTGCTTCTCCGTAACTTGCTAGTGTTTCCTAACTTTTACTCATATTGCTTTGAATGTTCCTGCTTGTGTAGGGAACTAATACTTGAAATTGCTTTTTAGAAAGTGTAATTTCAATATAAATGAAGGTTTATGTTTTATAGAAGCACAAGTATCTTAAATTTTTTTAGCCTTTCCATAGCTTTGGGAATAGTACAACTTGGCATAGATTCAAGAAGGTAAGGCAGGCATAATGCTGAGCCAGTGAAAGACTGGGTTTGTTGTTTCCTATTTTATTGTTTTGGCACAGTAAAAGCATAGTTACAGATGCCAAGATACAAGGTTTTTTATAGAAATATCAGGGGGAAAAAGTGACTTGCCACTGCTGACAGTTCTGCAGAAATGATGGCCTAGTGATAGGTGAAAAGCTGCTGCTAACACCAGTTACCATCACCTTTTCCTGTATGTCTTTCTGTTGATACGACTGTCACTACTTCCACGACTTTCGTTTTGTTTTATGAACCATTTACCTTTAGTTTAACAGAGAAAACCAGGGAGATTATGGCACATTGTTCTGAGGACTGACTATGCATATAAATACCATATTTCCTGTCTACTTCTGCACACATTCCAAAACTACTAGGAGATGGTAAAAGCGCCCCTTTCAAGCCATAGTGGGATTTTGTGCATGTTCAGGAAAGCAATGAGTTACCAGAATAACTGAGGCCAATCTAAAACGCAGTAACTTCATAATGCCTTAAATACTATGGATGTATTGCAACTGAAACTTGGTCTTTATAAAAGATAATACAGGTTTCAGAGTTAAAGGAAAATATCTGGAAGGTGAGTCTGGGTACAGTAACTTTTACGGTAATGTCCTTCTGATAGTTCTTCATGCTACCTATTGTTCTGCTTTTGGAAATACACTCTCTGAGCAGTACATGAAATTGCATTGCTGTGATTTGTACATATTGTTAGCTCTGAAAATCATTGGCATTTTAAAATTACTTTTGAAGGAGAAATTCGTGCAGAGATTTTTTTCCGTATTTTTAGTGGAACTTATGTAAATTTTGTTAACCATAAGCTGGTGTTTAGGTGATTGTATTTTATATACTGCAGTAATAAATAGATCAAAATAAAAGTTTTCATTTTACCAGGGGAACATGAATGTGGCAGCTCTATTCAAAGAAACCTTTCCGTCCAAGAGGCAGCTGCATATTTAAAAGTAAGCAAATGAGTTGTTTTTCATTGACTGTATAGAAGATTTACATGAGTTACAGTTTGTAACGACTGTTTTCATATCTAGTGTATTGACTAAAATTTGACTTAATATTGAATATTATTTGGAAATTATTGGAACTGATAACTTTAATACATGCTATGTATGATTTTTATTTGTGGATGTAGTGGCAGCTGGGGAGAGGGAGGGCAAAAGAAACTTATTAAATTGCGATGAAAGTTTAGCTCGTAGTGCTTCAATGACATGCAGGGTTTTTATCTCTTTCATTAAAACACCAGGAGATTATTTGGATTGATGGAAATAGTTGACCAGCATGAAAATAATAAACTTATAAAACTCAAATATCTAGAAGCTTCTCCAGATATCACTGTGTTGGTTTTTGAGACTTAGTAGAAAAGGATAATGTTTTACTTTCTTTGTAGAGAAAGGTTGATGTGCACAGTCTGTACAAGCAGCCTGACAGGCAGCAGCTGTTTGGAAGAGGCTATTCATTGATGCTTTAAATAGAAATGGTCAAAAAAAGGCCTTTTTGTTAATTTGATCACTGAGCAGTATTATGAAATCCCACTCTCTATCATTCCCCTGCCTCACTCCCCAAATAAAAGATGACTCTTGCCTTGTCTTGACAGCTGTAGGGTTTATTTTAGCCCGTGTTGGTGTACTCTTCAGTGGAAAACTACTTGAAGCTTTTAAGAGGCAGAGTGTGTAAGATTTCTTTGATTGGATGGGGACGAGTTAAATGGATGTATTTAATATACAAATGTATAGAAATTTTACACTTTGGCAAACTTCTATAGAGTAGACAAAAAGGGGCAATGCTTTAGAGCATCCCAAAGAAGCTGCTAACACTGGTTTATGGTTTGGCAATAATAATCTGTATCTGTTAAAACCAGTGCATTGTGGAAAAAATTAAGGTGATGCATTAGAGCTGATTGTCTTGTATATCTGTTATTCTGAAAGAATGATGTAACTGTTTACTGTTACCATAACTGTTTTAGCTCTGCTAGGAAGCTCAAATTTAATATGAAAATTTGCTTCTTTGCAGGAAGTTTTATTTAACTGTACTGTACTGCTGCTTTGCAGAATTTCTGTGTTCAGTGATAAAATTTTCAATACTTTAATCTCATTAAGACAAAATAAGACCATTACTGTCTTAAATACTTAAGTACTTGAATTCTAAGCCAATGTGAGGTTCAGAGGAAAGATGAAAATAAAACTTTCTGGGGACTATAATTTCAAATACAACAGTAACTTCCATTTTCACTTTTCTCTTTCTGCAAAAGAACATGCAAAATGAGCTATGGAGAAAGCCTTAGCTCTCAAATAGCAGTGAATGTTATCCTATTAGAGTTGATATCAAATAATTTAAAAAAAAAGTCAATCTCTTATGTAGTAATGTCTGGTCTTGAGCTACAAATACTGGTTTTTTTTTCAAAATATCTGTTAAAACTATATTTACTCAAGCTTCTTAAAAAAGGACGGAACATGGAACTGCTTTTGTAGGAGGCATTTCCAGCAGAGTTCTGATGTAGTTGGAGTTTCACTCCCGGAGTAGGTTTCCAGTGATTGCCGCCTAGTGGCTGAATAATTTTTTCTTGCTCTCAATTAGAGTCATGACTAAAAAGGTGAATGTGGCTTGGCTTTTCAAGTAGTCCTTAGTTTGAGGGATGCTGGTGAGAACTGCTTGTAGCATAAATAGATTGACTTTATGCAGTGAACACCTACTCAAAATCTGAAGAATCAGGAACAAAACAATATCATTTTGACTACTAATCTGTGCAGTATCTCGGTTTTATTCTGGCATGATAACTCCCTGGTTATTATGAAATTACTAATTAATATTGTATTTTGACAGAATTTAGATCCAGAATATGAAAGTGTACTTAACACATCATTACAATGGATCTTGAATAGTGGGGAAGATGTTGGCATAAAGTAAGTGGTGTTTATTTCTTAACTTAATTTCTTCTAAGATAATGTATCTCTTTTCATAAGTACTGTATATTTTTGAATAGGTGTCTCAGCAATGACCCTAATGAGATGGATGTCACTAATGTGACAGATGTGAAGTATCTGGAATCCACTAGTCCAAAGATGTCTTTCAGGTGTCGTTTTCGCCGTGCATTTGTTAATGTAACTCACAGATTATCAATATTGCTTTGGGGTAAGTTAATTAAACAGTCAACCTTTTTTTGTTGTATTTATCTAAGTGCATGGGGAAAAGCAAGTTTAGAGAAAGTTTTTATTCAACTTAGAGTTTCTATTGTTTCTTTATTAAATTTGGGCTTGATTTGCATTTCTGTTGCAACACTGTATTTCCAAATTGGTTGTTATCATCTGCTTCTGTAGTCAGCTGAACATATTCATTCTCTGGGAAACATTTTTCCCTGCCAGAGCAGTATCTTGTAGCTTTCAAAAGTTCCATGTTGAACTGGTCAGAAAAAGCAAACTGTTCAGTAAAAGGATGATAACCTTAATTTTAAGGACATTTCACTGTTGTTCCAGGAAGTTTAAAAAGTAACTGCAGAAAAAATGATCTGGGATATTGAGCTGTTCTTAAAACAATGAAATGTTTATTATAGAAGTAACTGCTCTTTCAAGTGGAAGAGTTTGTGTTTCTGTGTTAGAGTATAAAATACAGACAGCAAGTACAGAGGATTTCACTAACTTTGGGTTAGGTAGTTCAGTCTACTTCTGAAGTATGCCCTGTAAACTCTGTTAAATATCCAATGCTCTAATACTGTTTAAAGACTATTATGCATGTTAATGCAGGTATAGCAATGGTTTGGGGAGTCTTACACTACATGAAATACCGTTGGGCAAAAGAGGAAGAAGAAACAAAGCAGATGTATGATATGGTGGTGAAAATCATAGGTATGGCTTTTTCAGTCATGTCTAATGTATCAGTTTTGTATAAGCTTTCAAAGTACTGGCATTAATTCAGTTATGTTTCTTCCTGTTTACTAGTCATTATGCTGTTAGAGTTCTTAGTCCAATGTAATCCATGTGTTTTGTTTTTCTCTTTATTTTTTTTTAAATGCCCTATCCTTTAAACCTAATCAAAGCTTTTGACATAAAGCTTGTAATTTTTGAATGACATCAATATATCTATAAAGTTGCCATTGACTTGGTAGTATTTTGTCCTACTGTTGAATACAAATATAAACGCAATGTTTGTTTACTGAAGTATGGTCACATGTTGCTTTCTGTATCTGTTTTTTCAGATAACTTCAGTTAAAATATCCATTTCAAAAATGTGTGGTAGCTCTTGATACCATCCTTAGTGTTTTTTCATTGAAAAAGTAGCTTTTTAATTAATTACTTTGAGCAGAAATTATATTGCTAAAACAATATGCATAAACTCCAAAATCCCCTTTCTACTCGAAGCCACAAGTGTTTGCAGTAGGTTGTGTTTGTAGTTTTTAAACTCTTACTTAAGTTGTGTTATTAATTTCATTAATGGTAGTCACCATGAATACAGAGATGATAGAGAAATCAGAACTGTTCTATTTTAACCATGGTTAAATACCTTTTTTGTATGAAAATCAAGTTTTGTTGAGGTGGGAGGAGAACATTTTATTTTCAAAGATGGCCATCTTTGCTAACACTTAAAAAGTACCAATAAAGAGTAACTGTAAGAACTCTCTTCCATTACTTCAAAGTTATTTGATATATTTGACATAGTTGCACTCACTTTTAGGTTAATTTGCCTTAAGAATGATTTGGAGAAAACAATGTTTCAAAAGGCAAGGAAAACCTAACTACTGAAATTGGGAGGGGTGTTCAGAGTATCTGTTAATTGCCAGAAGTGATGCTTTTCTTAATTTTTGCCTGAGCTACATAGTTATCAATTTGGTTTCTTTTTATGCTGTCCTCAGATGTTTTAAGAAGCCACAGCGAGGCATGTTCAGAAAATAAAGAGTTGCAGCCTTATATGCCAATTTTACATGTGCGTGATTCTCTAATACCACCTCAGGACAGGTACGTTCTTACTATAGAAGTATTGAAAGGAGGGAAAACCAGTAAAAATAAATTGGTCAATTAACTTAATTTCAGAAAGAAATAACTTAATTTCTTAATAGATTGCACAGTGTAATATTTTGGAGATTCCTATTGACACAGGTGGGAGGAAAAGCATTGGATTTGTTTTACATGGTGGATGTCAACTGTGCAGCTTGTTGTAGTGCTAGCTTTGTAATTCTTGCTTCAATTTTGAAGGAGGAAGATGAATAAAGTCTGGAACAGAGCAGTTGACTTTCTTGCAGCAAATGAATCTAGAGTTCGTACAGAGACAAGAAGAGTTGGTGGTGCTGAGTTCTTGGTTTGGAAGTGGATGCAACCTTCTGCAGCGTGTGACAAAATTTTAGTAATACCATCAAAAGTATGGCAAGGCCAAGGTATTTAAGATATATTTTGCAGATATAATTGTCTTAATTTCTGCATCTAACTTACAAATGCTACTCTGTTGCGTGAATAATGAAAGGCTTGTTTTCTCTTGTACATTTCAGGATTGTTATGAACTGTCTGTGCTATTTCTCTGTTATCTTGTTCTGTGGACTTACTTTTTTGGTGCATTGTGTATTCCTTGTTTTCAAGGGAAATGAGCTTTTCTGTTACAGCTACTGCAGAAATATGTATTGGGTATTTAGCCAGAGTGAGTTGCTTCTTTTTTTTTTGTGAATTAAAAATAAAAATGCTCTTTAGTTGGTCAAATTCTGACATGCCTGACAATTACTGGAAGTAATGTAATTGGTTGTATCTGGCAGCAGGTAAATTGGATCTTACAGACTTAAGTTTCCTACTGTTAAGTTGTCAGTAAGGTGCCTTAAGGTCAATAAGGAGTAGGAGATGTTTTATTTCAAAAGGAAACTGCCAGGACAAAAGACTCCTTTATTAGGAAAATGTGCATTTGGAACATCTAGTAGTGTTTGATGTTCTAGCTCTGTCATAAATGTTTTTCTACACTGCCTTTGTTTTTCAAACTTTGTGGTATAAAGCATTTCCTTTAATAGAGAAGGCATTTTGTCATACATGGATTTTGCACTGGTCTGTCACTTTTCAGTTTTATCATGAAACCAAGTGGCAAGATTCTATCAGGTTTGCAGTTGTATGTCTGCAGTGGTCATATTTTCCTGGTTTGTTTTCTTTGTACCTTTCTTCATGTCAAGCTTCAGATTTTGGGTTGCTCTTTTTTTTGGTCAATGAAAAATTGAAATGATAGGACTTGAATTCTGGTTTGCAATTAAAGAATGGTCATTTCTATCTTAGCCTGAGTGTGAAAGTAAGTAATATCATTATATACTTCTCAAACTTACACTATTGGTTTTAGTGTTACATTTCTCACTTTAAATAATTCATTGGAAATGGGGCTGCTTTTTAAAAAATTCCACATGGATGCTACTTCAGGCTTGAGGTTCTGTGTTTTCAGTAGAAGTAAAGTAGCATTATGCCATGACCACTGTATTGCTTGATTTCTCAATTTATCAAAGCTTTCATTAGTAAGATGTGTATATGGACTTTATTCCAAGAGTTACAGAACCTTTTCTTTCCAGACATTGTACATTAGGGATGTGCAAGTGCTTTAGTTGCAATACAGAAATGGTGGGTTTTGTAAACAGCTCTTTCTATTCCATCTCTGTAGTACTGCCACGATTGAATTTCAAACACTCAAATTGAACACAGCTTCTGCAAGCTATATAAATGTGTTATAAATCTGAATCTTCTGCATAGTGTATTGTTTAGTGCAGGCTGGGAAACATCATGCTCTAATTCTAATTTACTACTCATTTGCTCTCAGTTTTTCTTGTCCTGTTTGATTGCAGTATACATCACTCCATGACGTTCTGTCCTGTATTAGAAATCGGATTAGATTATCCTCACCTGGAGACTCCTCAGTGTGTGATAGCTCAGGTGGTGTTTTGCTATTTGTAAACAGAACAGTGGTCTCCAAAACTTTCTAGAAAGACAGCTACTGTTGGGTACCATCCCAGTCCAACCATCTGATACCTACTTCAGCATATTGCAAATGTGGACAGAATAACTTTATCTGTATGTTGCTTAGAGTATGTACTTAAGACTACCTGCTTTCTGTTGTATAGAATGTATCAAAATCCATTCTGTTTCAGTCCTTTTAATCGCAATTTTTCCTAATTTTCTTGTTATGTTTGAAGTTTAGCAAAGATCTTTGAAGAACTGAAATTGCATACTTCAGCTCTAACAGAAGGGTATGGAAATGGGGTGGCTGAAATGATAATGGGTTTTTTGGGTTCTTGACAGTCAGAAGGCAAAGGCAATTTTGATATGTGAAGGCCTTTTCTGTTTTGCACTCCAAAAGTCATTTGAACCCAAAGAGTGCAAAACAGAAAAGGCCTTCACATGTAAGTATAAATACTCTTCAAGACTAATATGCCCTGAACAGACTCAGCATACAGAAAATCATAATGAATTCTTGGGTCTGAATCTTCTGAATAAATTTCAAGCTTGCAATTTTTTAACTATCTGAGATTAGAAGTGCTCTGTAGCAGAGAACAGCGCCTGAGTATGTGCAATTGAAGAAACCCTTTTCAGAATGGCCTGTCAGACTATACAAGGATCATCCATGAAATGATAGTGTGCATTTTAACTGTGGGACCTGTAGCTAGTGAGATCTAATGTCTGCTGTCTGTCAGCAGTGTGTTAACCCATCACTGTGACATTTTGTCCAGTTCTTCAGAATGCAGGACAAAACTGTGTTTTGACAGTTTTGTTGTTTTGTTTTTTTTTCTGGATCAGAATAAATTCTGGTGCCATCCCTTTGAAATATTACCTACTAGATGCAGTAGGTGTATTTGTTAAAAAGAAAAGTGTAGGGAAGCTCATTGTAGGATGGACAAATGCGATGTTTTGAAAACAATGTACAAGAGTATAGTCAACTGAGACACAATCTTGATCATGTCAAGTGATTTAATTAAATCAGTGGAGAGAATCCCACAATTCTAGTGTGTTCAGTTTGCTTTTGAAAAAACAGATACAATTGTCCTATCACATCTTTGATAACTGGAGCTCTGAAGAAAACTACGTAAGCAGTGTAGCTAAGCTAACAGTAGAAGCTGCAGTTCCTTGACAGCTCTGGAGATGAGATAAAGAGGTTTTCTGAAGTACCACATCTAGGGTGATATTTCATCCTGCAGCATGGAAGATAACCTGTTGCCTCTTGTGAATGACACCCTCCCTCTCCAGCTTGTGAGAACATAATCCTTTCTCTGAACAAAAACAAACAAAAAGACCCCAAACCACAATTAAAACTCTTAACTTTTGCAAGAAAACTGGGTTTCATGCTGCTTGTAAAATTCTGTATCCATCCTGTGTTTGTCTTCTGTAGCTGAATTAACTATATAAAACCTCGATTCAACCATACTTTTCTGTTTGGGAAGATAATCATTTCAGTATCTTCTGTGTGTATTAAAGAACCTCATGTTGTGTAGGCATACTTCAATTTTTTCAGGTAATTGTTTTCTCTTTTTGTTCTTGCCTTTGATAAGAAGGGTTAGTACTTAATAAATTGCAGTGATCTGTGGCTTAACACTGATAAAACCTGGTTTTAAGAAACACTATTACCGATATTTGAGGCAAGTCTTCAGCCTTACTGGGTTCATCAAATTCACATCTAAAGATCCTTTGGGCTGTATTGTAAACCCATGGTGATGATACTTGCAATTCCTTTTGCAATAATATATTAGTAATTCAAGGGGCATAGAAAGCTCTACTACAATCTTTTCAATGTTCATTTTGAAGCCAGTGCAAGAGACACTTCTTCCATCATAGACTGATAAAGGAGTTGATGAAAGCATCTATGTTTACCTGCTGCTACTCTTGGAATCTGGAATGATACAGTGATAGTCAGTTTAAGGTGGTAAAACAAAATACATTATGAATTAAATAAAAAATAACTTCCTTTTCTTTTAAGTGCTCAGTAATCCCCAAGGGGAATTTATGAAAGTCCTGAATTTTTTCTCCCCAGTGACTTACTGCACAAAGTTGTGCCTCTGCTTTTGGATTTCATCTTTACATCTCTATTTTCATCTTGAAAGCAGTGTAGACCTGTGTAGAAGAAGGTGTGAGATACATAGTTAACCAGTGTGCAACTTAGACTGTTTTCCTGCAAGGATGTCTGCTTATGCCCTTACCATGAATATTTTGTATGCTCACATCAATGTAACTTTTCAAATAATCTGTACTGTATTCTGAATAGCTTTGTCAGTGAAACTTCCTCTTGGGGGAGGGGGAGAATCAGTTCTTACTTCATGTAACGAAGTTCAAGAGATATCAGTTAACTATGCTATTTTCAGTTTTGTTGTGTAGGTACAGCATTAACTTGCCAGTGTCTTCTCTAAGCTCTCTTTTTGGTACCATTTCTGGTACACATATTAAGGCTTATTATTGTTCTAGCCTTAATTTCACACCTCACTGATTTCCACAGTAATTTTTTTCCCTTATACATGAAATGCTCCATCTAAGTTGCAAAGGTTACTTTTAGTTTACCATGATTTTGAAGTTTTTTTGAGAAAAGAGAGACTTCTTTGTTTTTATATGCTGCACTGCTCTGGGCACACATCTCTACCAGTAGGATGTTACATTGTTAGAAGCAGTTTAGTCTTGTGCTGGTGGTAGGCTCTGGCTGAAGTTATCTCAGTAAACACCTGAGATCTTCCAGTCAGAAGGACATCAGAGTTATTAGAAACTGGAACAGACAAAGCTTGGTTTATATAGGTAACTACACTAAAGGGTGAATCTCCCATTTAGTTACTTTAGCTCAGTGGTATAGCTGCTTCCATAAATATCAGTATGGATTTTTTATTTAGTTCATAAAAAGCTTGCAGAAATGTAGATCCTCTGGGTCCAGGATCTCTGCAAATAACCTCACCATTTGTTATCCTTAGATTAAAACCATGTGCTGAATAAACCTAGTTATAAACAATCAGCACATAATTTCCTCAACCCCACACCTTTCCAGGTCCAGGTCCATGACTAGGCTACCCCAGACCACCTTCTCCAGTATGGTGTGGTGCCCCAGTGTACAATATGCTGGTGACATTTCACCCCACCCTTGATCTGCTGGAGCCAACCTCCATGAGTAAGGTAAGTCCATGTATTTTTCAATGTTGCTTAGTTCTGTAAAGTTTTTGTTGTATACCCTATGTATAATTTTTAATAAGGGACAAAAAACTTTACAAAACCATGTGCTATTGAAAAAGGACTTGTCCTTAAACTATAGGAAGCTCAGAGGTAGATGCAGTGTCACCAGCATATTTAGAAATCTGTTCCCAAGAGAAAAACAGACAGGTGTTGGTGACTTGCACTCTGTGTGCATGTGTATTCTTAATAAGAGCATTTTTAGTTATTTGGGGAACTTGCAGTAGGCTTGATATTAGAATTTGATGCTACATTTTCTGATTTTCAGTTGGTAATTGTATTTTATTTGTCTTGGAAATTTACATAAGAAGCAGGTTTTCTATGCTGTATCTCCAGTGAATTTTCTCTTGGTTAGTGCTTGTCTTTCACAAGCAGCATCTTTCACATGACTTAATTTTGTCTGTGTGACATGTTTTTTGTTTGGGTGGCATACAGAAGAGCAGCAGTGTTCATATATTTTGGATGTAATTTCAAAATTTTAAAAGATCGGCAATAAGAGTCACAAGACATCTGCCCAATACAGAGACTTTTGACCCTTGGAATGTGACATCTTGAATATGTCACATTTTTCTGAAGTAGGGACCGCAAAGGAGAAGTATTAGCAGCAGTTTGGAATGTCATTTTTTCTTGTTGAGATTTTTAACCTTATGTTTAAACTCTTGAATCTACTTATGTCAGTCTTCAAAGTAAAACTTCCTCCAAGCCTTGAAAGCTGTTTTACTAGGCTACCCCCTTTCGGTTGCTGCTTTGTTAGCCCTTCTCAAGGCATATGGAGCTGCCCTATCTGAATCTGAAATGCTCGTTGATTCCTTTTCTCATGGTACAGTCTTCTCTTGTGACTCCCACAAGTAGAATTTGTGAACTTCAGAGAAGTTAATATTTCTTTTAGGATTTCGGAAGGTATTTCATGGCACAATTCAGCTTTGAGCTACTCTGTTATTTTTGACTTTTATTTTTCTTCTTACATCTGTTTTTTCTTCTGGTATGTTTCATTTTAGATTTTTAGAAGCTTCTGATGATGTGTGATCATTTAGGGCTACAAAAGCCCTGTCCTTGTAGAGCATTCTTGACTTGTTACTGCACTACAGATGCAATGCAACATCCATCTTAAGGTTTCCCTATTTATTAGCCATGTGGGCAGCAAATTGTCCCAAAAATGGAAGAAATGAAAATCGATCAGGCACTTAGATTTGTATTGTTAACTTCCAGTTCCAAAAATTTACTCCAGGTGTTAAGTATATCTGTCTTTTTGTGGAGATGTAGTGCATATCCTTTCTTTTCAAGTATATGGTATTTTTTTAAAATAAGCTGAATTCCTTCCATGTGGCTTGGTTATTAGGGAGTGCCTTAAATGTAGAAGTTTTAAGTATAAAAAAATCAGCTATATATGGTATGTTTTCTTCAGTGTGGTGGAAGACTGAAAAACTTAATTTGCTTCAACTCTTTCATATATGAAGGAAACTTTCTTCTGAGTAAAACTAGAAAGGTATTAAAGCATAAAGGTGACATTTCTTAACTCAATGGTATTATGCTTGTCAATAATTAATATTTAATTTATTTTTTTTTTAGCATTTCATCTAGATAGAAGAAATTCACCACCAAACAGCTTGACACCATGTCTGAAGATTCGCAATATGTTTGATCCAGTTATGTAAGTAAAACCAGTTATCTATTTGTATTTCTGCATTCCTTTGGAAGAGTCCATTTCTTACGTCTGAGTGGGGTTTGGAAGAAGTGAAGAAACATGAACATGTTAAAAAATAACCAACAGGTTGTAAAAAAAAAAAAGTGTTTCTCTTAACATCTATGAGAAGACATAAAAAATCTTAACTGTCTGTCTTCTGTCCTTCATTGTGTTGCTGTGTGTTTTTGGATCACTTCATGAAGGATGTGGTATATAATCAAACTGTTTGGAACAATGACTGATCTTTCTCCATTAATTAAATTTATAAATGTTCAATTATATCATCTGACAGAAGAGACTCATGTGGCCTGACAAGTAAGTTTTTTAAGTGTTGTTAAATATTCCGGAGTATTTGGACTGCTACAGAGCTTGCACAGAGTTTGCATTTAAAAGGCTGAATTTAAATCACTTATTACTTTATGGTACTGTGACTGCCTTATTTTGAAGCAAACGGATTTTTGTTCTGGGAACAAATTAGTGCTGTGTACTGGCTTGTAATGCTCATGTAATTCTCAAAATTAGGAGTTGAGAACTAACACATATGTTATGCCAGACAATCCTGTCTAATCTTGAAAGTTTCTTTGTCCACTGTAAAGAGATACAGGGACTCCAGTAACTTCTCTGGAGTAAATTGTTCCTTAATATGCTTATACGAGGGAAAAATGCAGATGCTATGTCTTACAGGGTAAATGTGAGATGCTACTTGGGACTGAAGAATATAAGAAGTTGAGTGGAAAATAAAACCTGTTGATTAGGGCAGAAAATAGAGGAGGACACCAGAGTATGGACACAAATAATTGCAAAGTTTGGATGTATTTCTTCATCCCTTTTTCTAGCCACACTTAATTAGTTCCTTTCCTTATTAACTGAAGAGCTGTAAGTTAATGTAGCTGAAGACAGTGTTACCTCTAGCCTAGAGAAGTACTCTAAAAACCTTTTCTCAATGGCTTTAGGACTTAATGACTGGTTGAAGACACTAGCTTCTGTGGCTTCTATAGTAATTTTCAGGTTGCTGTAGGGGGAACAACACTGAAGGTTTAGGTGTTGTCTTCAAGCAAACTGATCCTCCTGTAGGAATACTAAATAAAACATGGGATTTGCAGAGAATTTTAAGTGATATAAACATCCTTATTGTCCTTGCTTTAAAAAAGACTTTGTGAGCTATATTAGTTATAGGTTGGTCTGAGTGGTACTGAAAAAGTCCATTCCTGAAGCTTCACTGTAATATTTATTGGTATGTTGTTGCACCATGTTAGCAGTTCAAAATGTCTGCTGTTAATGGAACTAATTACTGAGGTGTTATTTTTGTCAGAGCAAGCTCCCTTTTTAGCCTGTATCTTTGCTGTAAGCTTCACTGGTTTTCAGTATTGACCCAGTCCATGCCCAGCAGGTGCATTAAAAAGCCCCCACATTTATAGAGTAGGAGTTGTTGTGTTTTGACATTTGTCTTTAGTGCTCATATCCAGTCAGCTATTTTGAACATTGTGACTTCTAATACATTGACTTTTTGTAGACCTTTTCTTTTGGAAATTGACCTAGCTCCATTACTGGACTCTGCTGGATTACATTCATAGTGGGATACTTCATCCAGTTCCATATTGTATTCCCTAGTGCATTCTTCTGTGAGCTGTCTTTGAGAGGACAATTGCTTAAGGAAATTGTTCTTATCATACCCTTGGAGTTATCTCAAAGAAAACACAAACAGTAATCCAAAGTGCAAGACAAACTCTATTATTAATCTGCTTGTGTCATTAGAGGAAGGAGGCTTATGTTCTTGAACCAGAACTGAAAGGGATGAATACTTCCACTGACCACCTAAAACACAGAATGTACCAGTGTCTGTGATTAGATTGTCAAGTATTGTTTTGACTTTTGCTGTGGGTGCAAGGTATGTTTAACAAAACTAGTTTTAGCTGCTCTTTAAGTGACTGTATACTAACAGTAATTACTGAATTCTTTTCAGCAATACACTAGTAGCTGTTAGAAGCAGCCCCATGAAACTAGTCTTTTTTTCTTGTCTTGAGAGTCATGTGGGAATATACCAGTTAATTTGTTTTTATTAATGTTATCACAGCAAATAATCGTCTTTCTACTGCCAAAAGTCGGGGAGGACTCTCATATCAAGGGAACAACTTGTCCAACTTGTTCACTTGTACATTGTGAACGCTCACATCACAGCAGCAGACTTTGTTGTGTGTTCCAGACATTTACTCTGCAAGGCAGAAATGTTTTTTAACTATCAGTCTAAGCATCACTTGTATAAGCCCATTTTAGGACAACACCCCACCCCAAAAACAGAAGTTTTGCCTTTTGATTTGTAGGGTTGAATTTTCTAAAGTGGGCTGTAGGAGCAAATTTGCAGTGTATTCAGTAGGAAAAGTACTAAATCTGCCCTGAGGTATTTACCAGAAAATTATGGCAAGTTACAGAGAAACCAGACTCAGTGGGGAAGTATGAGAATGTTGTGAATGTTTAAAAAAATATGTAATCCATGAAATCTTTCATTGTTTGCCTAGGGAAATAGGTGATCACTGGCATCTAGCAATACAAGAAGCAATCTTGGAGAAATGTAGTGATAATGATGGAATTGTTCATATTGCTGTAGACAAAAATTCACGTGAGGTGAGTGACTTTCCAGTAACATCTTAATACTTTGTTCATCCTTTTCAGCGAGACTTGCAAAAAACCCAAACCCCTCTCTCTCTTACTTAGGGCTGTGTATATGTCAAGTGTCTCTCCCCGGAGTATGCTGGAAAGGCTTTCAAGGCATTACATGGCTCTTGGTTCGATGGTAAGGAATGGGAGTTTTATTATAAACATGGGTAGAAATTACCCGTGGGTGCAGAAGATGGGTGTAGCTGGAATTATTTTAAATGTTGAAATGTTTTGTATCTAAAGTATTGAGCAGTAAAAAAAGAAAAAAAAAAGTAAACTAATTTTGATGTAATGACATATTTGTGTTTTACATCCTGAAGCAAAATGCAATAATACTAAACTGTAAGGTTTCTCTTTTCCTATTTCTTTGCCTCACAGGAAAGCTGGTCACAGTAAAATACCTGCGACTAGATCGGTATCATCATCGTTTTCCCCAGGCTCTTACTTGTAACACTCCACTGAAGCCATCAAACAAACACATGAACTCTATGTCACATCTGCGTCTTCGGACAGGCACAACTAATTCTCAGGGAAGTTCCTGAGAAAACTTTCTACAACTGCTAGGACTGTTACTTGCAACAGGAATGTTCCTGTTTGGCTGCCGTCTTCCTTTTTTAGTGCTTTTTCTATGTAATACTTTAAAGAATTAAATAAAAGTTTGAACGTTCCAGAAGTCTTGTTTCCAAAGGGACTTAGCAATGAGGCAGTAATACTGAGCTGACAAAAAAGAAAAAAAAAGTTGCTTCACAAAGTTTTCCGGGGCTATAGTAAACCGATGCATATAAGTTTTGCATGAGGAATACCGATTTCATTATACATTTGCAGATGTGGTGACGTATTTTTGCACCAAGAAGTGTTTTTGATAATACAAAAGCATGGAGAAAAGAAGACTTCCTGTATTTCCATAGTTTCCTGTGAAATAATCTTGTGGGTATTTTGTAACAAGCAACCTACAGTTCCTGATGGTAAATAAGTTAAAAAAAAAAATAATTCAGTCAATATTAGTTTTTTGTTGCTGTATAAGAATCTTTTTCTGCAGCTGGGGTATGGGGAAAGTGAATTTGGCATTAGTGGTTTCATATCAATGTGAGGGAAGATGAACTGATTGCGGATGTACTGGATTTTGTATATAAATGTAAATGCTGGTGGTGGCAAAAAGGGTTGTGTTCTGTGAAGATGTCTGCATCGAAGCAGCAAATAAGCTTCCTATTTTATTCAAAACCTGTTGTTTTATATGGTTTTGGCTGTACCATGACAAGAGGCCAAATACCTAAAAGTGTTGGATACAGGTTAAATATCTTTTATAGGTTTTATATAAAATACCTGACTGATTTTGTGTGAAAGGTCTGATACCAATTGTAATGAATTCAAATTTGTGAGCAATAAAGAAGCAATTGGCAGATACTGGAAAAATATTTTGTGAAAAGCTGTATTTATTATTACAAGTGTCAGGGCTGTGACAAAATACCATTGGATTAAGTGACATTCCCAGTACATTATAACATATTTTAATGAACCATTTATCTGTTAAAATTCTAAAAGGTACATACTTCCTTGCAACAATTTTGGCTCATGCAAGCAAGTGCAGCTGACAGTAAATCTTGTGATTCCAAGCTTGTAAATTTACTAATGTTTACCTAGAAGTACAAAATTGTTGCTGAGAAGCTTAGTTGCAAATCTAAGATTATTGGCTTTACTAATCCCCACTCCTACAACAATTTTACCTAGTTATCCAGCTGGACATCCTGTAGGAGGTGAGACTGGAAGCACACCAGTCCCACAAATTTTACTGAAACTCACTTTACTTTGTAGATATGATGGATCTGCAGCATGAACTTGCACAAATAATGCACGTTTTTTCTTACGGTTAAGTAAACATGATGCACACTATTCTGCAACAGGAAATCCTATTGTGCCTTACCTTTGTGCTTTTGTGGGCACCATGTTTATTATTGGAGAGTTTGTTAACCGAAAAATTTTAAATCCTCGGTTTTATGTCTCAGATGCTAATGAATGAGTATATATAATATATAATCAGCCATGCAGAATTCTACTTACCAAGGACAAGTACATATTTTTGATGGGTAAGTGGATTGTGCCAGGTCTGGTAGATTTTTGATGAGTTTTATTATATACATATATGTATATGTATAATATACATGTATATGTATTATATATATGTATATAAACTAATTTTGTTGTATTTGATGTGCATCATAGTGATTTGTTAACCTGACCTTAGTGACCCCATCTTGTGACCTGTTGCAAGAGTGAATGTAAAAATAGCTGTGGCATTTTAAAAGGTCGCCTCGATGCAAATGCATCTATCTTGCTTCTAAGATATATTTCTTGTAAACACTGTACATTTTAATTGTAATATGTACTATTATGCAGCTTATTTTACATTAAACTGTTAAGTTGACCGATATCCCTTCCTGCAAGACAGGGGAATATGTATAATATCTGAACATTTGAGAAAAATCAGATGTTTGTTGTAACTTGTCACCCTATCCTGTAAAAACCAACAAAAAACCAAACCAGACTCGAATTAAAGGTTTATTAGGGGTTTTTATATGTGTCTCACCTTCTAGATATTTGGGTGTCTCTGACTCAAATGCTTTTCTCATCTGGGGGCAGAGGGGGAGATTAATCTGTTACAGCCACCGAATTAATTTTTAGTGTTTGTTGGGATGCGAACAGGTGCTGCTGTGAGCTGACACACACAGCTGAGTTTCACTTAACTCTCAGCTTGGCTTTCATCCTGATTCTGTACACAGGGAGTGCAGAGACATTACCTTGATTCGTAAGTCGTGGACATGCCATGTTGTCTCCCCTGCCAAAGGGCAGGGGTGAAGAGCCATAACCTTGTGCTTTCAGCCTCTTCCTTGTATTTTGATACAAAGAGTCATCAAAGGGGTGTTGATAGATTAACAGAAGATACTGGCTTTTTTTCTTGTCATTATCTTAGGCTGCTTTAGAATTGTTTTAATGATAGGTTGAAGGTTTGGGGGGGAGGGGG